TTGCCTTCTCCGTCGATTCTCAATCTCACAACGTTTTGGTTGCCACCATTCTCGATCAAAATACTTATCACAGTCATCTTTTGGCTCTGTTGTAAATCTGGCGTGTGTATCCAGGCACAGACTGTAAAGTGTGGAACCCATTGGTGGTTCATATCTTGTTTCACATAGCTAGTATGTTGAGTTTTTCTGAATATAAGCTCAAAGTCATAGTCATCTGAATTTTCAGGTTGTCCATTGCGTCTATCAAGACTTGCAACAGTTTCTACGAAATGGAAAACAAGTACAACTGTTACATTAAAATTGGCAAGTTTCTGGCCACACTCTTTGCTACTTCGCTTGTTTTCAGCAATCGTTTTTTAAGATTTAATTGAGCTGAGATTTAACGACATTTTGGTAAAATAAATCGTAAATTGGTCTCTTCGTATTTCTTAGTAGGTTTTGTTTCTTCCCCTCCTCCGCTGTCCCCTCTCCATCCCCCACACATTGCATGCACGTTATTTGTTTGGTTCATTTGGCCCCAGACCTCGCTCTTATAAGGAAACAACTGCAACGCAAGCTAATATTAACAAGAGGTTTGTGTTGGAAATTGAATATTTCAAAAACTGCTTATTTTTGACATCTTAGAGGCTTTTTCTTTTCTTTTGGTAGGGAATAAGCGGCATTCGGCCATTGTAATGGCATCATAAGGAATAACAGGTTGAGTGCGTGGGATATCTTAAGCGAAAAAATAAAAGTTTTCTATGCTCACGGGATGCGTCCGTACCCAGACATTGTATTTTCGTTATTTTTTGGTCCACTGGGCCCCAGACTTCCAGGAAACAACTGCGCCGCAAGCTAATATTGACAAGAGGTTTGTGTTAGAAATAGGATATTTTAAAAACTGCACATTATTGACATTTTATTGGCTTTTCTTATTTTGGTAGGGAATACACTGCATTCGATCATTGTAATGGCATTATAAGGAATGACAGGTTGAGTTCGTGGGATATCTTTGCAGTGGAAAAAGTGAAGAGAAAAAAATGAAGTTTACTATACTCACGGGATGCGTCCGTACTCTGCGCGACAGCTGTTGATTCTGAACAGTTTATTCCTGTGAATGCATTCGTACAGTTGCATTTGTAGGTTTGAGTACTGGGTAATTCTACACACGTTCCACCGTTTTTACAAGGATTAGCGTCACAATCTGATAGATAAGACGAAATTGTATTGTAAGCAGTGAAAACTTCTACAGGTGAATTTTACAGTGAATCGATATAAAGCAAGATGTAACTTGATAAATCATTGCAATTGATATTTGTTTGTTTTTCGTCGTTTAGTATGAATTTTCTCTATACAATAGACAAGAGAGAATTGGTTTCATAATCAAGAACTTCTCAAGTTGTCGATCAGTTGCTTTATTTTCGTGCCCTTTAAGTTTGATTAAGGGGTGATCTCTGGCGAAATAAGCTACCAGGCACTCCAAGGGTTACAATATTGAGCGTTTAGAGGCAAATGGGGTTAAGGCCCGGCCAAATGCACCTAACATTCCAACGTAACATCTCACAACGTCGTAATAACCGGAGAGTGTAATACGAGGGCAGAAGAAACTAACACTCACGTTTCAGTGTGTCACTACAATCAACCAACTCTGCCTGTCCCGTGAAACGGCTATCCAACCAGTGCTTGTTGCTGATGTTGTATTTGCCTTCACTTGCCTCTATTTCCCGGCAAGATATCGCTGGTAATCCAGGAATGGAACCCAAGGGAACTGAAAAATTAAAGGGTATCTTTGAGAAGAAATTTCGTTGCTTTGGTTCGCTCAGCGATAAGTCTTCGGCTTAGAAAAGTCCGATCTTTTTTTTTGCGTCTTTTTTACCGATATACGATACTG